ATCAGAAATATTATAGCTGAACTGCAACATTACCTACCGAGAAATGGGAGGTGATAAATAGGACTTTGATCGACCTACTCTCCCCCTGCAGGCTTTGTTCCGCAGCGAAGATGTAGAGGCACTATTCACAGCAGTCGTTCTGAAGACTTAGTCTGCTCCTGAAGCTCAACTTGTCCAACCTTACCCGAATTCATCACGAGTGTGAGGAACTTCCACGACTGAGGTGAGGTAGGCAGGGAGGGGTAAACTAGTGCGCTGCGGAGAGGGTACGTGATACCGATGGAGAACAAGTTTGCAAAAGGCACCTCTCCCCTCCGAGTTTCCCTCTCTGGTACGACCTCACTTCCCGTTCTACCTACCATCTTCCTAAACTCCCTTAACTCCCCTTCTCCAGAGTTTTCTTTCTAAGCCACTGCGAGAAGGGGAGGGGGTAGAGAAGTGTAGAGCGCACTCGAAACAGGAAAAACGGAGGAACGTCAGCAACCGAGAACCTTTTCTTCGAAGACAAATGCGTCCCGCTTCGCTCCCTCCAGCAACCACGTGCCATCCCCTCCCTTGTGATCCCCAACCGTTCAACCAAATTGTAGCCCTTCGACGGACGGACCATCGCTCCCAAGAATATACTACTTTTTATGATATTTTTTCGATCTTTCTTTATCCTTCTCTTCGGACTTATCCTTATTCTTCAATAACCTTATTTTTTGTGGTGAAAATTTTACCGTTTGGAAGTGTTGCAAATCACACTTTTCTGCAGGCACTGCTCATGGCAGGAATCGAATCGAACAGTACATCTCAACCCAAAGTGCATTTCTGTAAGTTTTTCGTAATTCCCTTGAGTTTTTCTTTACAGTATCAGATGTTTAATAAGGGCTTGGGTGGAGTAGTCGACACTAATTGCGAGTTGTTACAAACGATTAGCCTCCCAGGGACTGGATTAGTTCGGGCGAGAGGTCAGCCGTAGAAGAACACACGAGCCCACGAGTCTTAGGTCTCAGCGGAGGAAATCCCGCGTGAAATACCCTTTATTTTTTCCTTATTTAGGACGATTTCTGCTATGAAATGATCGGACGAGTGCTTTCCATTGACAAGCCGAGAAGTCACATCGCTCGTCATCTCAACCTCCACTACAACTGCACAGGTTAGCATACTTTGAACCAAATAGACCTGCCCTATCAAAAAGGGGTACGGTGTCATTTTTGCGAACAGCTGGCTCTTGCACAACTGAAATTCAAGACATTGACCCACGATGCCCTTCGGATCTGTGGATCCATTAATTAGCAAATAGAGGGACAGAGGGTTTGGCAGAGTCGCCGTTTTTGCCGTCGTCGTCCATCAGTCAGTGGCTTTCTTTTCCTCTCCACAACTCGGTGCTCTCTTTTTGTGGAGAGCGCACCTGAGTCACCACAGGAAGCCGCCACTTCCACATGGGTCAAGTAGACTCAAGTGGACGGGCCGAGCCACCACTGACAGAGGACTAACTGAGCCGAAGCGTCGTCATTCCATCAATCACCTGCACCCTTCTTCAAAAAGGCAAAAAAAACAGCCCAAGAAAAAGGAGGCAAAAGCTAGCAAGAAGGATTTCCAGCCCAATTCAGTAGAACTGAGCGATCTGCGGGGCAATCCCGGTCCACCAGAGGTCATCGTTGTTTGAACAACACCTTTGATGATGATATGTGTGTATGGGAAGGCCAACGGGAGGTCCCAACGCCCCAGCTTGGGTCATCCCAAGACGAAACCCTTTATTAGACTAGATGTCCACGCGATTATGAGTCACGTAAATGTCGGCATTGCAATGCATATCAGATTTCATTGCGCTTTAGCTAAGGGACTCCTTCCATGCAAGGAAAGACTGAGAACAGGTGTGGGACATAGCTCTTAGTGATCATCGTCCATCAATGTCAAGTCGGGGTTGCCTTTGCTGGAAGATGGATGAGGTTGGCGTGACGTATATCGACTCCCGGACATGCTGCCCGTTTACCGGCAGCGATCTGGCCATGGCAATTATGATGGCGTTTAGAGTGGAGGGCCAAGCCGGATGTGCCGGACCTCATCTATACTAGTTGGGGGTACTTGGGATGCTGCCAGGCTAAGCCGATTGGCGCCTCATCTGGCCAGATTATTCTAAGCCCGAAATCGCTCCATTGGTTCTGAAGTGATGGCTGGGCGATAGGTGGCGGCCTGTGATAATAAGGCACGCCAATCATCTTCCGCCGCCTTAAAGATCGTACTTTCAGCGAGAAACTGCAACATATCGAATGCCAGCACAACGGAATTGTCCAGGACGACTGCACCTGCAAATGTGCCTACGGATTTGCTGGCACAAAGTAAGTCCTCTTAATGAGCCCATTAGCACCACTAGGAGGGGTTCTATAAGCAGCTAGGCCTAACTGCAGGTGTGACGCGACTCGCCTAAACAGGCCTCGTTTCACCGACAGGGGTAATGGTGTCGTGGCTCTATCCACTTATCCTGAGCCTCGCTCCAGGATCACCTTCTGCCAGTGGCTCCTTCAGGTAAGGGCTCCCTCATACCAGAAGTGTAAATCAAGCCACAGGGTACAGCATCGTGATGATGTGAAATAGTGATGTCAGTACGACCCCCTCGAAGGAGGGTCTCGGTACGACCTCCTCTTGGTACGACCCCCACCTTCCCCAACACCACCTATCTGTTACTTTCCTACAAGTGTCCAGCTCCTTACAGTTTTTCACCCAAAAATTTTCCGTCAAGCGGGGAGGGGGAGCAGCACGTATGAAACGGGAAAAACCGCGAAAAGTCAACAACCGGAAAATTTTTTTCCCATGCGGCAAATTTCTCTCAAAGGCACATACGACTCCCCCCTCTCCCAACAACGACCAAATACGACCCCCCTACCCAGCGGCCAAGTACGACTTCCCGAGTGTTTCACACAACGATGCTGCACCCTATCATGCCAGCTTTCTTGGAGGGTGGTCGCAGCGCTGAGAAAAGCTTCCTATGAATAATCTAGCTAATGGCAAGCGTTGCAGAAGGGTCAACGGCCCGACAACAGACGAATCCATAGGGGCCATAAAGCACGAGACAGCTAATGTCCCTCTTAATTGCTCGGCCGCCAGTGGAAAACGCCTGACATGAGTACTACTTACAAAATGAATTGTTTGCAGTCATCAGACCCATGGGCGACGATTGAAGTGGACATTGAACGGCTTGGATTGGATGGCGAAGATATCAGGCCAGGATCTGTCTGTAACGACCTCTTCACAGTTTTTGGCGAACAGGAACTTGTTGGACCGTGAGTTTCTTCAGAGATCTTTGAAACTTCAAATCAATCAGCGGTCTTTGGCAAACAGAGCAACGCGTCTTTCCGACGCTTAACGAGCCATGCGCTTATTCTTTAGTTCTTCCATATAATTAGGTGCGCAATTAGGCAATCTCCGCCAACAATAACAGGAAACTGGGAGCAGTCCTTGCCGCTCATCTTCATGGGGACAGATCTTGACCAGATCGATAGAAAGAGTATCCCTTTACCTCCTGCTTTTCAGGATTCCTTGCGACGGCTCTCAGAATGTGACGAAACTACGATCGAAATCGAATTGGCTGCTTCTGGAGCTGCGCAGTGATCCTTACTCGGAGAGCTCCGTCACTGGACCACTTCTCAGACACAACCTGAGGCGAATGCAACCTGGTAAGCGAATCATGAAGGGGTTGAAAGGCGTTCAGGAGGGGTTGTGGACGAGGTAATGGTGGTGGGTCCGTAAATGGCTTGAAGTCATAGTCTATCTCTTCTCCTAATCGAGTTCAGTCGGCACCACCGCCATTTCAATCAGCAACTGCACAAATTGGCGCCGAGCCAAATTGCGCTCTCAAACGACTTCCACCGCAGGAAACAATGCAATACGCCGGATGAATGACCCTCCTCGAAATTGCAACCCCCCTTCTGTTCGTTAGGGGCTCATCATCGAGCAGTAGTAGTACTTTTACTTACTTCAGTTGAACGAGGTCCTTAGGTAGAGCCTCTATTGTTCCGACGTTCCGACCCTTTCGCTAGCACGTCATTTTAGTGAGGACGAAGTCAAGTTGGAGCTAATTTAACGCTAGGCAATGCTAAGTAAGGCCTCAATTTCCTGTCAAAGAAGGTCGAAAACATTCGCCATCACAGTTATGTATTATGTGATATGGTATATGGTTTAGAGGTTCGCATATAGACGAAAACGTTCTCAGTAATTCGATAGTGAAGAAAAAAGCCGAAAAAATATGCCAATTATCTCAGCTGAACCCCATTCTGATCCCAATTTGTACTGCATGCGACTAAGAAAAGGCGTTCTCGGACGAGATTTCCCGAAAAGAATTCTACCACCGTACGAGTGACGATAGCGCTTTCATTTTCACGCTTTTCTCGTCATGCAGCTTTTTTCCCCTGAAAAGGGGGCCTTGAGGGCGGAGTCACTGGAGGAAAGGAGAAGTGCTGAACCTATATTGCGCTATAGCACCCCTTACGATTTTTGGTCGCGAAACCGGTACAAGCTTGTTCGTCGCAGACCACACTACCCTCCCGACGCCATATTTTCAACTTCTATACCTGATCGCAGAGCGTACCTTCAACGGTGCTAACGTAGCTCGTGAACTATGCTCCGCATTTTAATGGGATCGTAGGCCTTCGAGGAAGTCCATGAGGTTGAAACGTCAGGCTAGTGAAGATCCCATCCAACAGCCTCTTGAGGCGCAGTTCGGCGACGATGGTGCATTCTGCATTCTGCACTTTCATTGCTTCACTAGTTCCGGTTTACAAGTCTCACTCTGGTGAAACCTGTGAACTCTTGTGAGCTGGAGCAAGCTCGTCAAGCCATCATGGTAAAACCTGTCAACTCGAGAAGAGGCTGTCTAGATGGGTCGACACGTCGATGGGAAGTAGCGAAAGTGCAAAATGCCCCCCGTCGCCGAACAGCGCCGCCTCTTGACATCATGCCAAGATTTCCAGAAGCGAAGATATGGAGATTACTAGCAGTAGCACTGCTCAATTACAGGTGTACGAATCTACTCAGAAGGAATGACGTCGTCAACGCTCCTGCCATCCATCACTGCCATTGCCTTGGCATTGGCTATTGTTAGGATATACTAATTGCGGCTTTTGAATCGATATTCCTAGTTTATACTTGTTTGTTATGCAGTAACCATTTCCTCACGGGGGAACACAATTCAGGATGGGCACCGATCATCCCATTATGCGCTTGTTTTGTGTTCGAAACATCTGCCAACAGCTTACATCTGTTACGCACTCTCTCTCACTTCTCAGGTTCTCCTTTTTTCGCATCTCATCGTCACTGCTACCTTCGCTTCACACTTCTACCCCTTCAATCACGATCTGCCTCTTTTCATTTGATCGTCAAATGCAAGTCATTTCTCTTGTCCTGTGCATTACCAGTAATTTGTTATATTTATTGTGCATTAATCGCATTCATTGTGTGTACTCGTACCTCCTATGGCAATAATCGAGAAGCATCTTATAGCATAAGTTTAAGAATTAAATATGAATTGTGGCTTGTTACATGTCGGATATAGGGCTGTTAAAGGGCAAGGCCAATGGCTATTCA